TCATGGCAATAAGGTTCAAGAAATCTCTCGCTGAACTTCTTGCTTTAGGTTTACCACAGCTTGGCTAATTTTTACTTCAGAAAAAAATCAAAGGACAAAATCTAGATAAAAACGTTCTTTGATAGATCTCGCGCGTCTTGAAGGTACAATTTAGTAAAGATGAAAAAAATTGCAATAAAAAGTGGCACAAGTTGGACTCACATCCTAATTGATTAGGCAGTCATCTTCAAATCTACGTTTTTCGTTTTTAGTGAAACTGAACTTCAGGTCAAATGACACTTATACTAAAAAAACTTAAATTCGTTACATACTTTTTTTAAACAAAATCTAATTATGGCTGCTTTCTGAAGATATTAGTTTCTTAAATTCAAAAAAACAATTTCAGCCTTTCACAATTTTCTATGTATATTTTATAGCTTTTTTGCACAAAATTTCAGCAAAAAGTAGCGCTCAAAAAAACTCTGTCAGTGTTGCAATGATCTTAAATCGCTTCAAGAGATTATTTCACCTCAAACCATTCGTTTCAGGAAAATACTTACAAGAGTTTGCAATTTAAGCGTTCCTGCGATAAACAAGACTTAAGTCAAACAAAGTTTTTTCAAAAGTCATTTATAGCATCAACATTTTTATCAAATTTTTCTCAAGCAAATCATAGAAAAATTGAAAACTCAATTGAGAACAACTAAGTTCGCTACAAGAAGTTTGCACTTGGTTACTCCTACAGTTTTTTTTTCATGATAATTGAATATGCAAAATCAGCTGTTTAGTATTTTTTTAAACTTTCTTCAGAATATTTATTCTAAATGATAGTCGGTCAATTCGAAAAAAAATTGTTTATAATCTGTATAGAAAATGAGGTATAAAAATTGATGAAAATAATTGAAAGACAAAGCTATATAAAGACATCGATTTAATCCAAACATGGATTTAAATCAATTTAAAAACTATTTAAATTGATTTTTTGTCTAGGAATATGATCGATTTAAATAGATATAAAAATTGATCCAAATCAACCATAATTCGCGTTTTTTATTCCCCCAAACTTGCGTTTTAATACTATAGTTTTGTTTTCGATCTCAACATATACAACATAAGTTTACAATACTACAGTCAATTTTGATAAATTTTTGATTCTGAAATAGATTCATTCTATATACACACGTTTTCCCTCATCAGTTCACTTGTTTTTTTTTCGCTGAAGCATCATAGAAAGCTGTATTTTGCAGATTTTTTCTGCACAGCAAATGAAATAATGATCTTTGGAGCGCAGTTTTTTTGCATGTCAATCCGATTTTTTAATTTCTTTTCAAATACTTAAAAAATTAGTGTATAATTCTGCCAAAATCGCCTCCGAAAAGTTTCGGTTTTCCTGTCAAAAGTGAATGTTGTGAAGTATATTAGCAGTGACACACTGTAGTTGCTGAGTGAAAAATGACTACTGCGAACAAAGGAGAGCAGACAAGTAGAGCAGACGGTTTTACTTTGTCAGGGTCGCTTTTTGAAAGTTCTATTTTATTTTTTTTGCGAGTTGCCGCTCTCGCGAAGTTTTTCAAGCTTTCTATTTTTGCAATTTTCCCCTTATGAGTTGTCGTGGTACCGGTTTTAAAAGGTTAAATTTCCTAACGAGGGAAGTTTTTGCATTTTACTTCATCCTAATGCCCTTGTAATTCCATTAACAAGTCACAAATGGGCGGAAATTTTTCAGGAAGAGTAATAGACTGACACTTAGTGGCCTAATTATCTTTCTCTTTGTAGGAAGTGTTTTTCAGTATCATTCTTCTACAAGGGCAATTTTTTTTAATAAACAAACCCTAAAAATTGAAAGACTTGACGATCCCTAATATTTTGTCAAAATGTTTGACGGAAAAACAATGATTAGAACTGAATTGAATAATTGCAATTTTTAATATAAAATATGACTGCTCGTATCAGGGCGAAGCCTTGAATGTTCCAAACGCCTTATAAAATCTTTGAAGCAGTGTTCGTTTAAAAATAATTGATGAAATTTTCAAAACAAAAAGATTTGTTTGTTCAAATTTGAGATTTTTTAAAAATCAAACCATATAAGGTACCAATTGATGGATTTTGCTCCTAGTAACATAACAATTATGGCAAATAGCTTGCTTTAACCAATTTGGAACGATCTCTAAAATGGATTAAATCTCCGCTTACGCGTTAATAGAGTTTTGCTGAGGTTTTTCTGTTTTGTTACTGCTTGGTTAATTTTTTTCCGATGCTAATTTTGCATTCTATTGTTTTGGCATGTTTTTTTTCTTCAAAACTATCTTCATTCATTCTGATTGATATGTTTTAAGTATAACTACAAAAACATCAATATTACTCTTTTGCTCAAACTTTTTCGGCTTTCGATTTAGCTCTCGGCTTAGCTTCTAAATTGTGTATACCAGCCTAATTTCAGCACTTGTATGACTTTCGTGGATACTATTTGGGCAGTGCATGTATATTTTCCAAAAAAGTTTGCCGTATTTGGGCAGTGATGGAATATTTTCCAAAAAAAAATGCCGAACTTTTTTAGTTGAACTTCAGCTAATCGGTCTGTCAGCGTATTTACCTAATACTTTGTTCCCTACACTTTTTCTATAGTATTTATGAGATTGTTAAAAATGAAGGCCTCAAATTTAAATTGTAAAAACAATGCTCAAGTTCAACCCATTTTTCAATCGAACTCTTTAAACTTTAAACAACAATTTTCATTTTTTTATTTCTAGTTATTTCTTCTACGCTTACAATTTCTTTGATAGTTTTTGAGTGTCCTTTTTGATAGTTCTTGAGTTTTTTGCTGTTTTGAACCTCTACTTGTTGTATCGTAAGTGGTGCGCAAGTAGTACATTTGGGGAAGAAAAAAATTTTTTTTCCTTCCAACGACTTGGATAGTCGAAACGTTTATATGATGATTCCAAACAATATAAAAAACTGTCTCAAATTTTTTCAACCAGAAGAAACAAAACTGCTCGTATCGGTGAGAAGCTTTGATTCATCGGACTGCTTTTTAGGGTCTATACTGTAATGTTTATTGTAAAAACACAAGAATATTATTTTAGATTGTTTTGAATATCATTCACGATCACGCTATGTAAAGAGTCTTGTATTTTAATAATACAATTAAATGTCGTGTCTCATTGTTCCCACTTTCGATACGAAAGTAACGGAATATTTGTGCTCGGGTGGGTTTTTTTTTTTCTTCAGACAAATTTCGACTTTTCAACTAGCCATTTTTGACAGAATTTTTTTATATCATTCGAAAGGTATTGTTGTCCTGAGCTCCTTAAATTTGAAAAGATACTTTACCTGTGATCGTTTTTCGTAAAGTTATGAGGGTTTAAAGATTGCCATTTTGGCCATTTTGACCAATTTGGGACAATTAACGCGCAATATAATTCGCGCCATTAACGCGTAAGCGAGATTTAATCCGTCTTATAAATTGTTCCAAATTGGTTGAACGAAGCTTATTTGCCATAATTGATTTGTTACAAGGAACAAAATCCATCTTTTTGTACTTTATATGGCGTGTGGGGGATGATTTTTAAAAAAATTTTCAAATTTAAAATAAAAATTTCATTTTATTTTATTTCATTTATTTTTTTATGTATTACTGCTGCTCAATAAACCTTAAAAGGCAGTCGGCACATTCAAGGCTTCGCCCTGATACGAGCAGTCTTGTTTCCATTTAGAACGCATTAATACGCCGCATACTTGTATTCGAAGAACGCAATATATCGCGTGTCAATTATATCAAATTGGCCAAATTAGCGATTTCAAACACCCACAACTATATAATTATTGATCAATGTTTAATTATCTATTTAGATTTGAGCCCAGAGCAACAGTATCTTCCAGATGGTTTCAAAAAGTTTCCGTCAAAAATTCATAGTTTAAAGATCAAAATTTGACTGAATATAGAAAAACCACCCCAATCATTTATATTCTGCTTTTTCTTCGAAAGTTGGAACAATAAAAAGATCAGATGTGATTTTATAATTTGAGCTGAGGACATCAAAAAATCCGCCAAAAATTACAAAATTGGTCAAAAAATGCTAGTTAACATGTCGAGAAAAAACACACCCCGAGCACAAATATTTTCGAAAGTCGGAACAACAAGATTTGAATGCTGCTCAAGTCTGCTATAAAATTAAATCTATAGACAAAAGTTTTCAGTTTGTGATATTATAAAATTTTCAGATTTTTTTGACTAGCTTCTTAAATCTAACATTAAATCACGTCTTTTGAATCTGTAAAATTATCTTCTACCCGACTCCATCGGATAATAAACTCAAGTTGAAAATATAACCCGACACTAAAGTTTTCAGTAAACTCGGACTTTTGTGAGAGGACGGCAATTTTGAACAAAAAAAGTTTTGCCTTATCTAAGATGTAAGTGGCAAAGAAATTAATGTAAAGTGGCAAACTTTTTGCTAGATTCGAATTCTTAAACAAATTAGATTTGTTTACTCGTTCAAAATTGTCATTCCGCAGTGTGATGTTCCCAAAAATACAAATAAAAAAGATTTATTTCGAGAAAATAAATGCCATTTGGATTAATTCAGGATTTTGAGGAGTGGATTAAAGCTCTTTATAGCCTGTTTTAGCGAAAAATAACTAGTCTTTGCAAAACTTTATTCCAATCACTTTCCGTTACCAAGCAAAAACTGCCGAAAATTTCGAGTAAAAACACTAAAATATACGAAGAGAAAATGTGTTTTTTTTGCGATGATAAGTTTGGTGAAAAAAGCTTCTATAGACTCTTAGTGAAAATAGCTTCTAAAATTGCTCCGATAGACGTCTAAAAAACAGCAATTACGTTTTGTCCAGGAAAGTTTTTGTTTTCTAAACCTCTTTTTTTTCCATTAATCTGTCCAAAACTTCAGATGGAAAGGCATTTTTAAGTGGTCGGTCAGTCATCTGCATTTATATTGGTTTTTTGACTTTCGCTGAGATAATGAGCAAGTTTTCGAAGTTTACTTAATTTGCCGTCATTTCAGCCAATCAGCAGGCGCAGATTGAGCTGATGACTAAGGGAAGTGTGCGAACAAGCAACACCACTTCCTCGACAAACAGACCAAATGGGACAGTGCGAGGAGGGGCAGAGGGAGGGACAGGGGGAGGGCGAGGTGGAGGAGGAGGGGGAGGGAGGGTGCAGTTGCGACTGAGTGGCAATTCAGACCACCTGGAGAGGGCTAGGAGGAGGATGGTGTGGATGACTGCCTGCTTCGTCATCACCTACATCTGCTGTTCCACTCCCTACTACCTGTCCATCGCCATTGAGGCATACAGGTTAACTTCCTCTTCATATTTTACATTCTGCGGTAAAGCTCATTTTGAATAGCTCCAAACATACATGTTAAGGTCGCCTTTACAATTGACATTTTGAAATAAACTTGACTTCGAACAGCCGTGATTTCTGCCTACAGGCACAAGTCCGCCTATAGTAGGTGTTCTTCAAGCTGTGGCAGATTCAAAATTCAAAATTTGCCATATTCATTTTTCAAAAAACTCTTCAACTTTGATAAGTGTTTCTAGATTATCTGATTTGATACAACGTTCTGCATGCAGTTTTCCGATATGCCAAACGGTGCACGAGGTTACCACCAGGCCTGGGAGTTTAGATCAGTATTAAAAAAAAACATTTTAGTTAGGTAATTAATTCGTTAAAAGCATCAAATTAGTTGAAGAAAAGTTAACTAAAACTCACGTATTTTTAAAAGTTTGCTGGAGTAACAGCAAAAAAGTCATTTTCAACATATTTTCTGTTAAAAAACATAGCGAGCCTGAGAAAAAAAAACATTTAACGAGAAATTTTTAAACTGCTAGCTTTCAAATATAGAGCATCTAACCAACTCCCCCACCTTATGATCTCAGGCCTTGGTGAAGATGTCAATGTCAGAATTAATGAAAATAAAGAGCATTTCTCTAATTAGTTCATTTCGTCTTTACATTTTCTTTTTCTCAGAAGTATTATTGTTAACTACGAAAAATAGTTACTTAACTAAAATCCGGAGACTGGTTATCACATAAAAAAGCACACAACGGCATAAAACTAGCACAAAGTTTATGAAAGTTGTTTCAGTTATATTTCAAAAAATTTATATTGTAAATTGAAGCTCAAAAAAACATGATGAAATTTTTCACTGAGAGAGACTAAAGTATTAATTCACGTCAGAAATTTAATCGGTGTTTATAGTTGCAACTATAAACACCGATTAAATTTCTGACGTGAATTTCATACCATACAAAAAAAAGAGGAGTCTTGAGCATTTTTGAAAAATTTTATCAAGAGAAATGGAAAAAAAATTAATATTAGTATATCCAGGACTACGTTATACACACAAAAAATTAAATTTTGCATGCAAAATTTTTTTTCAAAAAAATGTTTGTTTGAGTACGAAAATCATTTTGCGGTTGAAAAAAAACAAAAAAAAATTTGGGGGCAATTTCAAAAAAAAAAATTTTGTTGTCGCCATCAAAAAAATGCTAGTCATACAATTTCCATATATGAAAATTGTATGATTAGTATTTTTTGACAAAAAATTTTTCTTTGTTATTTAGTACGATACACCAAAATTTATGCGAAAACAAGAGAAAAGTTCTTCGAAAATTCGATGACACCATTTTAGCAAAATGTATGAAAATTGTATGATTAGTATTTTTTCATAGACTTAGTTTATGGAATTGTATGATTAGCATTTTTGGTCTATGGAGGTCAACCCGGGTGCTATTAGTGAGAAAATTATAGATAAAACCAAGATATAACATTGGGGATGTATATTGAATTCGCTCACTAGTTTCCAAGTTTGATAAGTTTTTGTTGTTTGATAACTGATTAAGTTCTTCTGACTCCGGCATTGTTTTGGTTGAGAGACTATAGTTGGTGAAAAACAAAATTGCACTGGACTTTCCGAAACACCATTTTTTGGTTGAATATACGAGGTATTGTTTCTTGTGTTTTTTGTCTCTGCGCCTTGCAAGTACGTCTTTGCAAATGTCAGTGTCCAATAGAAGCAATATAGACATATGCAATCTGATTTTTCATCCGTCATAAACACTCGATAAAAGAAGACCGATAGAAATTTGGTCGAAAAAATATTGCCTCAAGCTTGCATGGTACGTGGCATTATCCATACTGCTCTTTTCAACAAACACCTTTTCGTGAAGGATAGCTCCGAAATTTGTTTTATCATTACGAGGCCAAACTGTTCGTTCTGTAAATTGTAAGCGGATGCCGCAATAGTCCAAAATCAGAATTGTCGAGGAATCCGCAACTTTGCTACTTTTCTTTGATTTTCTTCACTGGTTTGGATTCCACAAACAAAACCAAAAACACTGTATCGCTCGAAATATCTCCAAAAATAGAAGTATTGCGGAATCAGCAACCGTATTTGCAGAATCCAGAAGAGTTTGTGAACTCCACAAACAAGCAATAAGACCTTTTTATAGTTAAATTGAGCTGTTGCGGATTCCGCAACTGTGACCGGAATCCGCAAAATGTAAGTGGAATCCGGATTTTGTTTGCGGATTCCGCTTACATATATGTTTACGTGATAGCAATTAAAAGTATATCTTTTAATTTCTAGGTGGTAACCAGAAAAATTAATCCCAATTACTACACTAATCAACTACGGTTTGAAATACCGAACGTTTGGTCTGAATTCTTGGCAACCCAACTTCGATCTCAAATCTTGTCAACTTTGATCTCAACTTCGATCTCAATTCACGAGAATTGGAATTATCTAGATCATCTGTATTTGGGATTGATGGAATGCCAAATACTGACCAGTATTTGGGGTTTATGCAATCCCAAAAACTGCCTTAAGTCGGCGACATGCTGTGCGTTGTGTTTCTAAACACTCTCAACCCAATGACTACAAATATTGAACTTCTTCGACGCTATGCTTCCAAAATCAGTATTTGGGATTGACACAATCCCAAATACTGACCTAATTTGGCGATACACTGTGTGTTTTCTTTCCATACACTCTCAACCCAATGACTACAAATATTGATTTAATTCGGCGTTATGCTTCCGAAATCAGTATATGGGATTGACGCAATCCCAAACACTGACCTAAATTGGCGATATGCTGTGTGCTCTATTTCCATACACTTTCAACCCAAATACTCCAAATATTGAATTCATTAAATTTATGTGTTGTGTTTCCAAAAGACTAAAAGGTGACATCCACCGACTTAGTTAACAAATGTTTTGAGGTTTGTTCGTGAATTCCGCTGACAATGGTTAAGCCCTTGCCTTTACGTTCGCATTACCATGGATAAAAATTCCAGCTCTAAATTTTACTTGTTCATACGCAAGTTCACTAATTAACAAAATTCTGAATCCACTTACAGTTTGCAGAATCCGCTTACATTTGCGCTTCCGCTACATTGTTTTTACAAATTCCGCTTACATTTTGTGGAATTCACTTACAATTGCGGAATCCAGAACAGCTAGCTACATTCGCTTGTTGCGGAAGCCACGAAGCAACAAATGTGCCGACAAAACTTACGTTACAGGTATTTGAACTCGGAATCCACGGAAGTTTTTTCCTTTTGACAAGTCTCACAAAAAGCGACAAGGTGTTTCCTTTCAAGCAGTTTCTTTACTGAAAGTTCATCAATCGATAGATTTTAATGCAATTTCTTGATGTCTTCATGGGTGAGCCTTGTAGCATTCGGCTTCGGCTATCAGTTGTGGTCTGAATCTCATTGCTATAAAAACAGCAATACGGTAAATGATGCATTATGATACTGTCAATCTTTCAACTAGCTCCCCGGGCTGAGGTGCTCGACTCATGATTTGACCGAAACGGTCGAACGATGTCCGTTTTCGAATTTTTCAGTCAAACGGTATCCGATTTCAATTTTTTGAATCGAACGATGTCGGTTTTTGACTTTGTTCGACTATACCGGACATTGTTCGACTTTTTTCAATTTTGTTCGATTTTATCGCAAACTTTTCGCTTTTACCGAGAATTAGCTTTGCTCGTGCGGCGTCAAAGATTACTCTTTCAGTTTTTGTGGTAACTAATTTGTTGTTGCGCTAAAAAGGACTATTTCACATTGGGACTATGTGTTGGCCTTCTCGAGGCGGTCCTGTATTTGATCAATAAATATGTTGATCTAGCTAACTGCACATTAAAAATACATATATACTGGATGATTTTGCAATCTGCATATGTATAACGCTTATGCAAGCAAAAAATCCGACAACAATTCCATTACTTAAGCTTTGCGCGACCCATGTTGCGACTTTGCGCGACTCATGTTGCGACTTTGCGCGACCCAAATTAGCTATGTTGCGACTCTGCGCGACCCATGTTGCGACTTTGTGCGACTCATGATTCGACCGTGTGCGATTCATGATTCGACCATGTTCGACTTATGATTCGACCCTGTTCGACTCTCGACCCTGTTAGACTCATGATTCGACCCGGTTCGACCCATGATTTGACCCTGTTTGACTCATGATTCGACCCTGTTCGACCCATGATTCGACCCTGTTCCACTCATGAATTGACACTGTTCTACCCATGATTCGACCCTGTTCGACTCATGATTCGACCCTGTTCGACTCATGTTTCTACCCTGTTCGACCCAAGATTCGACCCTGTTCGACTCTATCGACCCTGTTCGACTCATGATTCGATCGTGTTCTACTCATGATTCGACTATCTTTCGACTGTCTTAATTTGCGACAAAAATCGGACTCCTTTTGACCGTGTTGGTCGAATCATGAGTCGAACACCTCAGCCAGGGTCTTTCCAATGTATTTCAACTTCTGAGCGTTGTCTCTATTCCTTGCTTATTATGCTTTAAGGACGTAAATGCCGGATGAACTTCCAAATATGTCAAAACAAATGTCTGCAAACTTCCTTTTAGGCTTCTTAATTTTGTGTCTCTTGACACTGTAGTTTCATAGATCACCTTCATGTAATTTTTTTCTGTGTTTGTGAGATTTGACTGCAGATTGAAAGTTTCTTTGAGTAATGAATGTTTCAGTCGATTCACCGAAATTGCAACTACTAAAGCATTTTATCTCTGTGTTGAGCTTTTGCGCTCACCTCTTGATAGCTTCGTTTGATTGTAGATCACAGATTATCGTTCATGTGAGAGAAACTCACAAAAAAAGCCTGATCAGAAGCA